TAATTTTGAAGAACAGTCCTTTAAGAATGCATCTTAGCTGGGCATGGCAGCACACACCTATGATCCAACACTCTGGGAGGTTGAGTCAGGAGGATCACAAATTTAAACGCAGACTGGGCAATTTAGCAATTTAATGAGACCCTATCTCAAAATTTTTTTTAAAAGGAGCAGGCTATAGCTCAGTGTGAAGATCCTGGGCTCAATCCCTGGTGGCACAAAAAAATTAAATAAAAATAAATTTTAACTAATAAATTTGTTTTGATTTCAGTGTCTGAACAAAAACAGCTAGTTTTATGTTTAAACCTGACAGAACTGACCCTCTTACATTCATTCATTCAACAAATATTTACTATGTACTAAGCCTAAATTAGGCAATGGGTACAAAGTATGTGTGTATGCATGTGTATGTGTGTGTGTGTGTGTGTGTGTGTATTCTTGTGTATGTCTTTATCTATAAATTTAGATGAAAACTATTGTAATTGTTCTGTCCTACTTCCATCAGTTAACCTCAGATTGAAACTACATATCGCTGAGTATTTCAGCCTGTTCTCAAAGTTATTTCTTTCTGCTTATTTTCTCCCTGATATTGTTACAGAGGCAAGATTTCTCCAGCCTTAACCCTTAAAGTTTGAAGATCATAGGATAAGGTTAGAGGTAATGACAGCATGAAGCCTGTGGGGAGCCATCCCACCTTACATGAGAAATACCACAGCCAACAACATTTACTAGATGCCTACTGTGTGCCTGGAATTGAATATTTTGCAGGGTCTTTATGTCATAATCATCATTACTTTAACTGTACCATTTCCCTGTGATGATAGAAAAAAATGAAAAGTTAGGGGCAGAACTGTCAGGAGACTCCTACAAAATATAATCACCCACGTGAAAGGCAATGAAAGTCAAGACCAGTGGTGGCACAGGAAACAGACAGGAGTGGATGGATGTGAGGAATTGGTCAACTGATGGATTAGATACTAGATTTCAGAGAAAACAATGGCCAGGGAGCCACACCTGAAGGACACTGCTGCCTTTGCTGAGATGGTGGGTGATGATCAGCACCAGGGAAGGGAACATGAGGAATGGGACTTATTTGTGTTAAACTTAAAATGTTTTTAAGACCCCAAATAGATATGTGAGGACACAATTAACCTGGCATTCAAAGGAGAAATTTGGAGTAAAGAAATAACTTTCCAATCACAGCGTTTTCCTAAGAAAGAAGTGTAGAGCAAGAAGAGAACTGACCCCAGGAATGAGGTTTTAGGGATTCTAATATTTAATAGGAAAACATGAGCATAAAAGGGAATTGTGGAATTACAGAGAGAAAGTTATTTGGGAAATCAGTAGAGAGGAGGAAGCAAGAAGAAATACACGTTCAAAGAAGGGTGTGGGAGATAGGGAGGCCACAATGTAAAATGCTGCTGAGAATTCATGTAAAATTAGAATTGAATTAACAATTGTGTAATCTGCTTAGAGAAACAAAGAAGGAAATAAGGAAGGGAGAAAGGAAGGAAGAAAGAAAGGAAGGAAGGAAGGAAGGAAGGGGTGAAGGAAAGGAGAAAGTAAAGAAGAAAGAAAAAAAAGAAATAAAGTGAGAAAGAAAATAACATCTTAAGACAAAATAACAACAGCAAAATAAAAACCCAGAGCTGTGATTCTTGGCATTCTGCTGATGGACTGGAGACTCAAGTTTCAGACTCCTCTTCTCATTGTCTATTTTGGCTAGTGAGAGAAATGTAGCTTTCTTTACCTTTTGACAGACTGGAATTATGTCAGTGCTCTTGCTTGAGAAGAATTCTAGATGTGAGATTATTTAGCTTTAAAAGATTTTTTGAAAAACTTCACCACCTAAGTAAATGCTCATGAGCATTTGACTGCAGTTCATGCCTTCTCCACAGCCTATAGCACCCACAGCAGTTAGCACCAGGAGCCCAGTGGTTCCATTGTCATTTAGACAACATAGAACTGGCAATGTATATCAAATGCCCTGTGCTCATGGGGAAAGCAGCTTTGAAACAAAACAAGAAGCATTTCAAAGCAAACTAAACCAGAAGCTATTAAGACAATATATACTAAATATGCTTTTTGATACATGACTTTTAAATCTTCTTAAATAGAACTGTAGACTAGAAATCACCTGAACCTAGTTGATCCCACAATATCTCATTATTGTCACAGTCAAAGGCCACACACATCAATACGCTTTAAAAAACCACCAAAGGGTATAAAAATGTCATATATTTTCATTGTTGTTTTTCAACTAATTATGAATCTGACTTAAATTTCCAAAGATGTTAAGACAAATAATCAACAGAACAACTCCCTTAAAAATTGACAGGAGAGATTTTACTTTTTTAAAATTCAGACATAATTCATATCCTATAATCTCTGTGGTATTTTAAAAAGTTTTACCCGGATGCCCTCTCAAAAACAAACAAATAAACCCACAAGTAAATGTCTAACTTTGGCTTTACCTTAGCATGCTGTTTTACTTTAAAAATAACTCTTACCTTATCCCAATGGTAACAGTTACCCCTGCCCATCAGCTTCAACTGTCACCTTCCCCATGGATTTCCCTTGACAGGAACTCAAAGTTATAGACTGTTCAGTGGATCTACCTGACAGGGACCAGCCCTGACTGTGCTTCTTCCACTGTTCTCTGAATGTTCTGGGCATGCTCAAGCTCTATCATACCAGATTCAACAACAGTTATGAGAGATGGCATTGAACGATTCCATATTCTAACCATAGCACTTTTCCAGTTCCTCACAGAGACTAACCTACATCATAAATACATGTCTAAGGAACCCTTCTACACTGTTGGTGGAAGTGTACATCACTATAGTCATAAAAATCAGTATGGAGATTCCTCAAATAATTAAAAGTAGAGTTACTGTGTGATAGGGCTATAATACTCCTCGGTGGATTCCTAAGAGAATGAAAGTTAGTATATTATAAAGATACTACATATCCATGTTTATTGCAATGCAATTCACAATAGCTTAGCTATGAAAGTAGCTTAGGTGTTCATCAACATATATATCATTATGTATAATATTACTCAACCAAAAAAAAATTAGTTCATTTGCAGGAAAAATGGACAGAACTGGAGATCATTGCATTCAGTGAAATAAACCAGATTCAGAAAGTCAGATATTCCATGTTTTCTCTCATATGTGAAATCTAGAAAATGTTTTTTTTAAGATGACATAGAATTAGAAAGAAGACTATTAGAGAGAGGAAGAGGATCGGGGAGGGAGGACAACAGAGAAAGGGTCCAATAGGGGGAATGATCAGAGTATGTCAGATGCATACACGAATATGCCAAAATGAATCTCGCTAATCTATATAACTAATATGCACAAATATAAAAGTGAACAAAAGAAATAGCAGGAGGCTGTTTGTGGGACAAAAACCAAAGGATCAGAAGTTAGAAGACCATGATCCTAGCTCAGTTCTGTCACTGACCAGCTGGTGGCACTGAAATAATTTACTCCATGGCCCTGAGCTTTCCTCATCTGCAAATAAGAAAAACCAGGCTAAGTCCAGTTAATTCTGATAACCAAGATTTTATTTTCTACAAATTTCATTAATAGATTCTATCCTACAGCTACCTTCAAAATATCTCCCTAGAAAGCTTACAACATCAGAAGTCCATTTTCAGAATCTGAGCTCTTAGTACTGCTGCTACTTCTTTTATTAACATACTATTTTGCTAGCTTAGCACTTATTATGTTTCACGCCCTGTGCACTTTCCTTGTATTATCTCATTTAATATTTACCTTTCTGAGATAGGATGTCAACTAGAATTTGTAATGCAAGCCAGTCAGAGCTGATTTAAGAGGACTACTAGACAGTTCATAGTGTTAACGGAAAGACTGGAGAACCACTTTTGAGATTCTACAGGCAACACCACCTAAAACCACATTACCAAGCCACTTTGGTGATGTGGCCACATCTGCTCTAGGAAGTGGCCAGCACATCCTGTAACACTAACATTCTTAAAACTAAACACCAAATGCCACCACTGCCACTGCAATCCTGCCACTACTGGTACCTCTGATAAGTCTGCTGTGAAAGCAACTCAGGTCTTCTAGCTGCAAGAGAGGCTGGGAGAGAAAGTAATTGGCATTATTTGTGAAAGCATTCCTGAGACATAGGACAGAGAGTCCACATGTTAAATAACCACAAAGAATTACTAATTTCCACTGTGAGTAAACTCACTGTTTTCATCTCTATTTTTACAACCAGAAAATTGAGGCTTAACAAGATTAAATAATTTACCCAAGCCAGGTGTGATGGAGCATGCCTGTAATCCCAGCATGCTGGGAGGCTGTGGCAGGAGGATCATGAATTCAAGACCAGCTGGGGAATTTAGTGACTCAGCAAGACTCTGTGTCAAAATTATTTTTAAAATGTAAAGGGTCAAAGATGTAGCACAATGTGAAGGCCCTGGGTTCAATCCCCAGTACCACAAAATTATATACATACCTACATACACCTATACCCAAGGTTACAGAGATGGCAAAGTCAGTCTGTGGTCTATACACCACAGTCTCTCTAATAATGCTGTGCTCCCCTTGCACTCAATAACTTACACTAAATGAAAGACTACAAGGATAGGTTAGTTTGAGTTGTAGATTTATCTTCATCATCAGGGTAACTGTCATCACCATTACCATTATATTTAAAAGCAATCTGCAAAGTTGTGACTCCATGACCCATTTACCCAGAACTTCAAGTTACCCAAATGTACTCAATGATACCGGTAGACACGAAGACACATTTCAATTTTTTTAAGTAGTTTCCATAAACAAACATGAGAATAGAACAATACTTCTGGCCAGAGATAGCTAATAACTCATAACCCAGATGCCAAAGTTCAGTACCAGGCAATGTTGGAAACTATTTTCATCTTCTAAAACAGCTACCATTTTACAACTAAACACCAACAACTCTCTGAATTATAATCTGTTTTCCCTGCAGCTGTTTCCATTGCAGTTATGAAAAAGGAAAACAGCAGGTCCGCTGATAACAGCTCAGCTTGGTGGGGAAAACCCTGCACTCTTAAAGAGTGGAGGCGGCCCCCCAAAATGAGCACAGGAGAGCAGCCAGACAGCCGATTCCTGACTGTGTGTGGTAAGGAGCAAGAAAAAGGAGGGCAGCTTGGAGGAATTAAACCTAGGGATGGCCCCAAACCACATTTTATGGTTACAAGCATCAAGCATCATCTCCTTTGCCACAAACCTTCTGCCAGAACTGAAAATAAGAACCAAAACTCTAACAGGCCTCCCCACTCCCTGGCTGCCAGTGCTCTTTGGCAGTCCCACAAGTCAGCACAAGGAGGATGTCAAGGAGAACCCAACAGCAGTAATAATCCACAGAAAGGCTGCCACTCACTTTTAAAGGAATCAAACACTAGCTATATTCTTACTCTGTAAGCAGCAACCTTCCTATGATTCTGTTCAAATACTGTACTTTGAATAATTTCTGAATATTATTTCTATTTCCCTACATTCATATGTATAATCAGCTCCATCTCACTGGAGAGTGTGGGTGAAAAATTTGTACTCATTTCCCTTAGTCATATGATTCTAATTTAAAACACACTTTTCCCGGCCTCCTACTCCAACCAAAACTATTCACTGCACTGATTCTAACAACTCACCTAAAACAAGCAATAAAAGGAACTGAGCTTCCTTCTGTGGCCCAGAACTTTCCCAAAGCTTGGGCCTTCCAGCAATCACAGACCTTTCCACTACAGTGCCTTTAACCATAACTAGTAAAATCTGCTGTTCAGTTAGAGTAGCAGTCATTGGTGACAGGATAAAACAACAAAGAAAAAGAAGAGTCTATCAGAGCAGTCATTTTTTTTTCAAACTATCCCATCCCAAAAGATTTTATTCTTGGTGAGGAGGATACTACTCCTGAATGATGAAGGATGGTATATTTTAAGATGAACAATAATAGTTTTACTCAAAGGGATGGGGTGGTGGGAGGAGATGGGGAAAGGCAAGAATGGAAAGGAAAAATTATGAGAAAAGAAAAAAAATGGAAACGAAGTCTATGTAAATAGGGAAGGGTGGAGGGGTAAAGGGCGCACAGGTAATAGGGAAAAAATAGGAACTAAGATACATCATGTACAGGCACAAGCACCCAATGATAAATGTAAATGTATTGTATACCTAAAATGCACCAATAAAAGAATTTAAGCAAAAAATAATAATAATAGTTTCACTTATAGGCATGTCAATATCCAACTATGCCAACATTATTCTTGATATACAGTGACTTGCTTTTAAAATAGGAGGTTTGTTTGTAGGAACTTTGACATAATGTAATAACTTCTAGAAAAGTTTATTGCTCTTACTATATATGTAGCCTTGATTGGTGAATTTATTTTACATATTAGTGTTAGTCCTTTTTTGTTACTATAATGAAATATCTAGGGCAGGCAACTTTATAAAGCAAAGTGGTTTATTTAGGCTCACAGTTTTGGTTCAAGATCAAGGGGCTGCATCTGGTGATGGTCTTCTTGCTGGAATAGTCCTGAGGGAGCACTAGGCATTACACAGTGACAGACAGGGAGTATGGGTGTGTATGTTTCTGGTCTCTCTCCTCTTATAAAGCCACTGGGTTTCAACCATGGAGCTCCACTTTGATGACTTTCATAATCCTAATCCCCTTCCCCAAAGACTCACCTCTAAACACCATAGTCAGATTACATTTCCACCCTCTAAATACCTCATGGTGTTTGATTAAATTTCAACACATGAATCCTTGGTGGATATTCAAACTATATCCACACCATAGCAATGTCCAAAGGCTAAAGTACTATGATCAACACAGTAAATAGCCAACAAAATTTAATCAAGAGGATTTCAAGCCGTGTTCGGGGCGATCTCTCTGAGAAGTAGATGAACTGAATTTGAGAGTGTCAAAGGGATACCATAATAGTTTGTTCATAAAACTACAAGTGGTTGTCTGAATTGTCCCAGGTCAGATGGACAAGGCAAACACTTGGTCCTCTAACTCTGCTCAGGGTATTTCCCCGTCCATTGTTTAGACTCTGTTTTAACTAACAGCCATATCAATTTATTGAGGAATGAATGTTATAGGACATCACTATTAGCTGAAAACACATAGAGAAGGATTACTCACAATGAGATGTCATCTTTACTGCTCTTCTCCAAGTTTATCTTTTGAGTACCATTTTAGTTCCACTGGAAATAGCTGCAGCAATCCTTAACTGAATGTACTCCAGAATGCTTCTCCAAATTCTGCTCAAAATTTGAAGCTCAACAAAGCCTCCCTCCAAGAAACTCTCCTTCACCATCCTGTCCCTCAACACCTCTCCTCTCACCAAAGCAGAAGCAGCACAACAAAGAAGTAAAGAATGATAATTTTAAAGTGAGACAAAATTAGGTCTAGATTCAGAATTTGCTTATTACCAGATATTTAGGCTTTGAGTGTTACTTATCTACAAAGTAGTGAGATTTTATGCTTAGCTCATATATTTTTCAGCTTTAAAATGAAATAAAGCCTTTGTAGCATTTACTGTTTATCTCAGAGCTTCCCAAATAATATTTTGAGCACACTCATGACCTAGTACTGAACTATATTGGTCATAATCCATCTCCTAAGTATTTGGGGAAGTCAAGGAGAACTTGGGGTGATGCCAAGATTACCAGCTCTAATTATGGGCAGCTACCTCCAGACTCCTTGGATCCCATGAGACAGCATGATGTGTTGTTTCTAGCACTTGGTGCTCCATCTAACATGCTGAACACATTGAAGAGGGTCCTCTCCTCTACTGCCAGGTCATTTGTGTCAGCAGCCAGCTTTGAGGTAGCTACCACTCATCACAGATGAGACCCCTAGAACTCAAAATTGCAAAAGGTACTCTAAGGTTAATCCAGTAGAGGGAGTGAAAATGGGAAATTAGGCCAGACAGTAGCTCGTGGAAGGCTCAGCTTCAAGCAGCAGACTTACATTTCTGTCTTTACCTATTTTGGATGCTTTGTCCACTTAGGGTTGGTATTTTTTTAATAGTATCCAATCTACCTGTAGAAGATGGAATTAAAACATCACATGAAGAATGATAACCAGAGAAGATGGAGCAGTAGGAATCCCTGAGAATCAGTACTCTCCCCAAAAGCAGCTACTGAGCTGAAAAGAGCTATCAGACTCAATGATTTTAGAGCTCTGCAGTACAAACACTTATAAGAATCCAAGGGAGGGCTTGAATAAAATACAGGCTAGTAAATTTCAGCAAATATTAGCTTTACACATAGCAGTTACCATAGTCCTAGAGCAATGGGTACTATGGCCTACTTTCCTAGTATAGCTTGCTGACACCTCCAAATATCAGCAGGTTCTATATTCTGATCTACCTAATCTCCACTAACTGACCAGCACAGAAAGTGGCCATTATTTCAGTCCTCTTGGGGTGAACTTGGCTTCCCTGATGGCAGCTGTCAAGGGGATTTAAAGAGACAAGACAACATTTTTCCTTTCTTATTGGATTTAAGAAAATTTTTTAGATTACCGACTAACTGCATATATAATAGAGCAGAAAATTCTATGAACATACATGATAATGAATATAGTTTCTCAAAAAAATCTTTTAAAAGTCTCTAAACAAATGGCAATAGCAACTCTCCACCAGGAACAAACCAATCTCTGGGGAAGGAGGAGAATTTAATTAGAGAATTAGAGTCTAGCATGACTCTAATAGTTAAATGTCCAGTTTTCAACTAAAGAAAACATAAAGCATATAAATAAACAATATATTAGTCTGCTTTCCAGTTGCTGGAATCAAATGCCTGGCACCTACAACTTAAAGAAGGAAATAATTTCTTTGGCTCATGGTTTCAGAGGATTCAGTCTGTGGTTGGCCCACTCCAAAGCAGAAACATCATGGCAAAAGAGTGTGAAGCTGCTCACTTTATGGTGGCTGGAAAGCAGAGCACAGGGAAAGAGTACCAGAGAGGAAAGGCCCAGGCAACAGACATAGACACCAAGGTCATGCCTTCATGACTCACCCAAACACAACTAGAACATTTCATCCCTTGTCAACTTGACCCAAAACTCATCCCCTTAAACCATACTTAATATCCAAGCAAAGACAATTATAATTTCATAATTCCGTCTAGCATAATGCAACTATGCTACATTCAACCCAAAACACAATAATCCCTTCCTGAAACTCAGCAGTTCCAGAATTCGTCAAAAGTTGAAGTCAATATCTCATCTGAGATTCAAGGCAAACTCTTAGCTATCAAAAGCAAGTTTCATAATTCCAAAGTACAGTGGTTCAGGGTAAACATTCTCATCCCATAAAGAAAGAATACGCAGATTAAAAAAAAAGAAGAAAAGGACCAAAGTAAGATGGAAATCCAACAGGGCAAACATTAAGTCTTATAGCTCCACACCTGGCATCTGGGGCACACAGTAGTAAGAAATAAGTTCCTGGCTGAAGGTGGCAGCACGGAGGACCATGTGGGCCCTGGGTCCTACCAAGTCCCAGCCCCAAAGCGGAGGGTGGCATATGGCTATGTACCGTTTCTTTCTTTGACTGACAGAGAAAGTACTTTTACTATTGTCTCCACTATTAAAGATGCCCCAGGTCCAGGACACTATAATGTTTCAGAAGCACAGTATAATATACAAGAAGGCCATAGCCTACAAAACCAAGAAAAACATTTTAAGAAGTTTATTTCAGATAACTCAGGACTTCCAAGTTATGGACAGTCTTATTGTGGAACACTAGATATCCTGAAGAGAAAAATACTAGAATCTAAAGAGTAACTTCCATCAAAAGTTTCAAGAAGACCTTCTGTTACCAGAAATGTAGATGTTCCTTCAATTCCTTCTTGTGGACAGTCATATGGTTATCATATTAATGAAGATGGCAGAATTATGAAATGCTTTCCACCTGCAAGTGACAGCACACTAAGACCAGCATACTACAAACCTCAATTTGATGTTTCCCTTGCAACTTTGAAATACAAAGGTATACATTTTGGCAATGCTTCAGGAAGAAAAGAGTTACCTAAAAAGTTAGGTCCTGGTCCTGGACAGTATGAAATCATCAAGGAAAAGACATTACATTATGAAAATATTAATATCAAGAAAGATCAACAGCAAGATTATTGCTCAAATATCCCACAATTTTATAAAGTAATAGAATTGCAAGAGGAAAAAAAGAGGGTTATGTGGTGCAGGAATAAAACAAGTGACATTAGACAGATTTTTCATCAAGATTGACCCTGCAGCTAAGAGACAGAGAAGAGAGGAAGGCCATGAAGGAGATCTCCCTAATATCCTTACGGAGAGGAACTCTCCTACAAACAATAACTTCTTCTCCACCCACTTTTCTGCTTTCCATGACAGAAGTTGCCTCAAGCAAGAAATTCATACCTATGAAATCAATCACCCCAGCTCCTGGTACATACAATGAACCTCGACCTGCTTTCAAGACTTCAAAGAAAACATCAGGACTGAAAAACACCCCCTTTGGTCAAAGGGCTGCTCGATTCACACAGGACTCCATGGAAGAGGAAATGCCAGGTCTTGGGTTTTATAATATCCTAAACAATACTATAATTGCCAGTACTAGAAATATCTGCTTGAGATTCACTGAGAGAGAAATTTGGGAAACAATTCCTTTTACAATAGAATCCAAAAAAATGCAATATCTAGGAATGAACCTAACAAAGGAAGCAAAAGACCTCTACACTGAAAACTACAGCATCCTGAAAAAGGAGATCAAGGAGGATATAAGAAAATGGAAAGAAATCCCTTATTCCTGGGTAGGAAGAACCAATATAGTGAAAATAGCCGTATTTCCAAAACTGCTATATAGATTTAATGCAATGCCAATTGAAATTCCCACAATATATTTCACAGAATTAGAGAAAACAGTCCAAAAATTCATTTGGAACCAGAAGAGACCTAAAATAGCAAAGGTAATTCTAGGCCACAGAAACATGGCAGGGAGTATCACAATCCCCAACCTGAAACTATACTACAAAGCTACTGTGATAAAGACAGCATGGTTCTGGCAAAGAAACAGACCCAAGGATCAGTGGAATAGATTAGAAGATGCAGAAACAACTTCAGACATACTCAGCCACTTCATCTTTGACAAAGGACCCAACCACACTCACTGGAGGAAAGATAACCTATTTATAAATGGTGTTGGAAAAACTGGATTTCAACCTGCCAAAGATTAAAACTAGACTCATACCTAACACCATGCACTAAACTAAGATCAAAGTGGATTGAAGATCTAAATATTAAGACAGAAACACTAAACTTGCTGGAAGATAAGTTAGGTAGAACTGTTAAAGACATTGGCATAGGCAAAGCTTTATGAACAAAACCTCAGTAGCACGGAAACTAGCACAAAGAATCAACAACTGGGATCTCATCTTATTAAAAAGCTTCTGCATTGCCAGAGAAACCACCAACAGAGCTAAGAGACAACCTACAATGTGGGAAAAAAATTTTAGCAGCTGTACCTCAGACAAAGGTCTACTATCAAGGATATACAAGAATTGAAAATAATCAGACCTACCAAATTCAAAGACCCAATCCAAAAATGGGCATCTGAAATGAACAGACATTTCTCAGAAAAAGAAGTAAAAGCAGGAAATAAATATATGAAAAAATGTTCAACATCACTGGTCATTCAAGAGATGCTGATGAAAACAACACTGAGATTCCACCTCACCCCAGAAAGAATGGCTGCTATCAAGAAATCAACCAATAACAAACGCTGGCAGGGGTGTGGGGAGAAAGGAACCCTTCTCCATTGTTGGTAGGAGTGCAGATTGGTACAACCACTGTGGAAATCAGTATGGAGGTACCTCAAAGAACTAGGGCTAGAGGTCCTATTTGACCCAGGTATTCCCCTGCTGGGTATCTTCCCCAAAGAAAGAAAAGAATCATACTACAGCAATATATGTGTACCCATGTTTATAGCAGCACAGTTCATAATAGCTAAGGCTTGGAAACAGCCCATGTGCCCATCAACTTTAAACTGGGTAAAGAAGATGTGCTTTTTTTTATTAAATGGAGTACTAGTCAGCCAGAAAGAATGAGAAACGAGAGACATTTATAGCTAAATGGATGCATATTGAGGCCATACTCTTAAGTGAAATAAATAGGACACACATGTGTAAATACTGAATAGTTATCTAGTGTGAGAAACTGAAAGTGTAAATAAGGATTAAAATGATTAACATGAATAACTGATAATTTGAAATAGGAAAAGGTCCAAAGGTGTAGGGGTGGTGGGAGGGGAAGGAGAAAGGAAAGAAGGGAAAGGAAAAATTATGAGAAAAGAAAAAAATGGAAACAAAAGTCTATGTAAATAGGGAAGGGGGAGGGGGTGAAGGGCACACAGGTAATGGGGAAAAAATAAGAACCAAGATACATCATGTACAGGTACAAGCACCCAATGATAAAAATAAACATATTGTATACCTAAAATGTGCCAATAAAAGAATTTTTTAAAAAAGAAAAGAAAGAAATATCTGCTTGAAGAAACAAAAGAAAAGCACATTTGGTTCTTCTGTTTCTCGAACTTTGTTCCTGGTTCAGAAAGAAGCTTATACTACTCCTGGGCCTTTTGATTATCAGAATTCACAGGTTGGTGGAATTTCTGATGAATTACCTAAGTTGACTAGGCAACATGTTACTATCTTGTCAAAAACAGAAAGAACTAGGAAAGTACCAGATATGTAACTGCACCTGGGGAAAGCAAAATCTGAACTTTGCATTCACCGACTTGGCAGATGAATGACAGGATGTGTACAGGAGCCCCAAAGCAATAACAGAAGTAGCTCAATTCAGTACAATGGCAAGGGAAAAGCCAGTTGTGCAAGTTTTGGAGGAGATCAAAAGTGAATCATCAGATTACTTATGCATGGATGACGATGATGACTTTGACACTGGCCATGTGAGCCAATGTTCTTGTGACAATGAAATGGAGCAAGAGAGACCTGCAGATTGGAGTGCCATGGCTCCCAGGCAGGAGGAGGCTTCCGGGTAGGTATGCCATGGCTCCCAGCCTAGAGGAGTCCTCCAGATCAGTATGCCATGGTTCCCAGGAAGCAGGAGACTTTCAGGTAGGAGTGTCATGGATCCCAGCCCAGAGAAGACATCCAGACCAGTGCACCATGGCTGCCAGGCAGGAGGAGGCTTCCAGGTGAGTGTGCCATGGCTCCCAGCACAGAGGAGGTGAGTCACGCCAGCACCAGGAACAAACCCCCTCCCCTCACTCCCACGTCAAAATGAGAAGACGGGTAAACAAGCCACAGAACCAGACTTCCAGATCACCTACAGCAACCCCAAAGGGAAAAGAGATGGAACACTCTGATACTCAACCACCTGGACTCTCTGAACTAGCAACAAAAGATGATCTGGAAAGAATGAAATGAGAAATAATTTCTCACTTAACAGCAAAGAAAGTGTAAATAAAGACTAAAAGGTATAATAGATAATGTGAAATAGGAAGAAAAGGGGCAAAGGGGAGGGGTAAGCGGGAGAGGTAGGGGAAAGGAAAGAAGGGAATGGAATTAATATGAGAAAATGAAATTTGGGAGGTCTGATTTTTAAAAATTCATTATAGATTCTAGATAGTAGACCTTTGTCTGAGGGACCACTGGTGAAAATTTTTTCCCACATCGTGGGTTGTCTCTTCAAACTGCTGGTGGTTTCTCTTGCTGTGCAGAAGCTTTTCAGTAAAAAGAAATCCCGCTTGTTGATTGTGGTAGTTCACAGGCAACTGAGGTTTTGCTCATAAAGTCTTGTCTTACCCCAATGTCTTCAAGAGTTCTACCTAACCACTGCTCCAGCTGATTCAGCATTTCTGTTTTTATATTTAGATCTTTAATCCATTTCAATTTTAGTTAAGTGGATGGTGAGAGATATAGGACTAGTTTTAATCTTTGGCAAGTTGAAACCCAATTTTTCCAGCACCATTTATTAAAGAGGCTATCTATTCTCCAGAGAGGCTGTTTAGCTCCTTTGTCAAAGATGAGGTGGCTGAGTGTGTCTGGAGTTGTTTCTGTATCTTCTAATCTGTTCCATTGGTCTTCATGTCTGTTTATTTGCCAGTACCATGCTCTTTTTATCCCAGTAGCTTTGTAGTATAGTTTGAAGTTGGGGGTTGTAGTAAAAACATGCTGTTTAATTTCCACATATTTGTATGTTTTATAATTTCCTTTTGTTGTTGACAAATATGTGGAAATTAAACAGCATATTTTTAATAAACAAAGGGACAAAGTGCAAATCACTAGAAAAAGTATCAAATACTTTGAACTAAATGGAAAAATGGATAGCATGTCAAAGTTTATGGGATGCTGCTAAAATAGCAATTAGAAGAAAATGTATAGCTGTAAATGTTTATTTTATAAAAGAAGAATGGTCACAAATGAACAACTTACTTTTACATCTTAAATAACTAGAAAAAGAAGAGCAAACTAAACTGAAGGCTATCAAAAGAAGACAATAATAAAGATTAGAGATAAGCAAAATAGAAAATAGAAATAATTAAAATGATTTTTTGATATGATTAACAAAATTGACAAAATTTTAGCTAAATGGACTTATAAAAAGGGGAAATGATACACAATGACTATGCACATATGCTAGCTATATACACATTGGTATACTGTGCCTTTTAAAAAAGGAAATTTAAAAAAAAATTAAAAATTCTGTTATTTGCCACAGATGGATACACCTGGAGGATATGTTAAGTGAAACCTCCAGATGCAGAAAGAAGTAGCACATGATCTCAATTATATGCAGGATTTTTAGAAGTCAAACTCATAGAAGCAGAGGGAATGGTAATTATTAGGTGCTGGAGTAGGGGCAGGAGGAGCATGAACGACCTGTTGGTCAAAGGATATAAAATTCCAATTAGGCAAGAGGAATAAGTTTAAGGGATCTATTGTACACAGTTACTATAGTTAATAAAAATGTATTCTATACTTGAAAATCAGAGAGTAAACTTTAAGTGTTCTCACCACAAATGAAAAGTATATGAGGTAATGCATATGGTAGTTTGATTTAGCCATTCAGAAGTATACACATATTTCAAAAATATTATATTGTATATTATCTATAATTTTTCTCTAATTACAAAAAGCTTTAAGACATGTCAAAAAATGAAAAATAAAAAACAAAAATCTCCCAACAAAGTAAATTCTGCAAACAAATTTTACTAAGCATTTGAAGAAAAATTAATGGCAATCTACTCAACTCTTCCAGAAAACAGAAAAGGAACAATTTACTAACACATTCTATGAGATTACCATTACCCTAATACCAAAGCTAGACAAAGGGACCACAAAAAAAAGAAAACTACAAATTAATATCCTTATAAGCATAGGTTTTTAATTACCAAAATATCAAACTGAATCTGATAGCACATTGAAAGTATTTTTTCAATGATCAAATGAGATTTTAACTGAGTAATACAAAATTCAACATAAGAAAAATAATATATAATATGCCATATTAGTAAAACAAAGGTAAACATCATATGATCATCTCATTAGACACAGAAAAAGCACAACAAAATTCAACATTTTCATAATAAAATACACTAAGCAAAGGAGAAATGGGATAGATCATCTTCAACTTGGCGAAAACTTCAACATTTATGAAAAACCAACTAACATCATACTTAATAGTGAAAGGCTTACAGCTTTTCCCCAAAGGGCAGAAATAAGACAAGGATCTCTGCTTTCACCATTGCTATTCAGCATTGTCTTGAAGCTCTAACCAGAATAACTGGCAAGAAAAAGAAATTAAAGGCATCCAAATTGGAAATTAAGAAATAAAACTACTTCTATTTGTAAATAGATGTACCTATATAAAGAAAATATCAAAGCCACACACACACACACACACACACACACACAATACTAGAGCTTATAAATGTAGAGATGTTGTGGGTTACAAGAGCTACACATAAAACCAGTTTTTTCCTATACATTAAAATAATTAATCCAAAAGAGAAATTAAGAAAGTAATTTCACTAATAATAGTATCCAAAAGGATAAACTATTTAGGAAAAATGTAGTTAAGGAGATGAAAGAATTATACACTGAAAACTACCAAATAAATATTGATGAAAGAAATTAAAGCCGACTGAGGTAAACTGAAAGACATCTCATATTCAGATAAGAGATTTAATATTGTTAGGATGGCAATACTTTCCATAATAATCTATAGAGACTATGCAATTGCTATCAAAGTTCCAGTGACCCTTTTGCAGAAATAAAATTTGATTTGCCAGTACCATGCTGATTTTATCACAGTAGCTTTGTAGTATAGTTTCAAGTTGGGGATTGTGATACCCCTAGCCATGTCTCTGTTGCTTAGAATTGCTTTAGCTATTCTAGGTCTCTTATGGTTCCAAATGAATTTTTGGATTGTTTTCTCTAGTTCTGTG